TTATTCTTAGAAGGAAAGTTTTAACACAACACCGCCACGACGCAACGGACCAGAATTGCAACTGAAAAGTCATCAAATATATATTTTTAAGCAGCAAAATCAGATGCAACTTAGCAAATAAAATGCAATTGATATTTTTGATAATGCTATTCCAGTTTTAATTCTGTTGCAGAGCATTCAAAACCTTCTTATTTAACTGCTTCACTTGATTCTTTGATTATTCCACTCTACATCACTTTTAATAATCTATTTCCACTTGTAACGCTAAAGTGGTTGTCCAATAAATTAGTTAGAAAGTATTGTTGTAGAATTGCAACAGGATGGATCAGAAATTGATGTTCGGAATGCTTCAATATAGTCCTCAGCAGATAATGTATATGTGGCAACACTTCTATATATTTCATAAAATAAGAATTTTATTTCTTTAGGGTAACAGGACTGCAGACATCTTAAAAGGTTACATGGTTTTTGGTTAGTTTCTATTTTAAAGAATTTGAACATCATCCATTTCCAAAAACTCATGAACAGTAATCATTGAAGCCCAACAAGCTTCATGTGTCTCTTAAGAACAGCTAATACAAAAGGAGTTGAAAATGTTGAATTAACTGCTAGTATAAACAAATGAGATCAGTAAACTCACTCGATCATTAGAGGGTGGGCAATATGTTTAATGGGATTTAGAAAATCTATAGTAATTATGAAGCCGGTTGTGCAAGCCTTTAACATGCACTCATCTCATCTGAGAAAGTCTAGTAACTATATTATAAATATTTGATGTAATATCCACTAACTTACTCTGACCTTGTATCATAAGTAGAGCATTTAATGCAATGAGGTAGATATATTGAGCTTGAGTCACTGCCAAAATTAATTTAGAGAAAGCTTTGTTATCTTAACAATATATTTTATACTTTGTTACGATTATTAAAGGTTTTGCTACAAAATATATTTAATTTTATAGGTATGCCTATCAATTTAACTTCCCACATTAGTAAGCTTGACAATAGTTGAAGCCAAAATATATGGTTTGGTGCAGTATAAAAGTGTTCATCGAAGTATACAGCAGGTATATGTATATCAATTTGGATGAAATTCGTCATCATAAGTAAAGCAACCACGTTAAAGGAGGATTTGAACAAATGATAAAAAAAAAAAATATTACCATCTTAGAGACTTCAAGTAGCATAATCATCTAGTAGTATATAACAAAAAATATACAAGTTTTTACTGATCTTTCAAGGTGTACAATCAATTCAGACTTGATTACATCTAAAGCATTTCAAACAATAACCATCAAAAAACCAAAGTAACTTGAATCAGGATACATGAATACGATTCAATAGTTTACCTTTGCTTTTAGGAATTAGTTAACTCTACGGTAAATATCAGATTAGAAATGTTAGAGCTATTATTTTAGTCAGTTAATACCAAGCAGTCTTCAAAACCCAAAAACATATTTAGTGCAGGTGAAAGCATGCAGAATTGTTTAGGAAGTAGGACAGTTAGATCAACAAGGATAAATTAAAAAAATTTCAAGCTTTAGTTTCTCAAAGCAATCTGAAAAAATATTGACAACTGGAACGATTTTGCTTCAAGTTTATAGAACAGATAAAGTTTAACAAAGTTCCAAAAGTGAACTTGAAATAAAACTACCAGAAGCTTAAAAGAACTGTATAGAGTAAAAGCATTAGCCAATATATCTGATTATAACAAATAAATATCTTGAGGCTACAAGTGAAACTATATATAGCAAGGATAGATGTTTAAGATTGTTGGGATGGCTAAAGAATCAATCGAAAAAAATCTTTAAATACATCAGCAGCATTGTTAAGGTTTTACAAAGTTTTTAAACATTGCCATAATATGAACATTATGATTTGAGATTAACAATCTCGGCATGTATTTGAATTATTAAGCAGAATAGGCTTATATTTTATGGAGGTGCCATCATTTACTGAATAAGTGCGAAATATTAATTTAAGGTGCATATAGCAACGCAACTCGGAATTATTAAAACAAGAGGAAGGTAATTTGGCCTCTCAAAGATCCAAATTTCACTTAGGAAGCATTAATACAAGGATTCTTTCTAATTAGCTAGCTATATGAGTTAACATTAGTATACTAAAAGGTCATCAGAAGTAAAGGAATAAAAAATTATACATTTAAACTAAATATTTGATGAAATTAGATTCAATATGTATAGATATAAGTCAACAATGTCAATTTTTTTATGGTAAAGGATGTTTTATAAAAAGAAAAGCTAATCTTATATGAAACCTTGATTGAATATAAATCAATTTGAAGGTTTAGAATGTTAGGTTACAACATCAGAAGTTGTATCAAGATAAGATTTTTCACAAGTCCATATAAACAAATAGGAGTTATTAAATGAAAATAAATAATGGAATAATTAGAATTGACAATACAATAACTCAATTTTGTTTGAAGGCAACAATAAAAATGCTATCAAATTCTTAAAAAATAACAATTAAATTCACTTTTTCTATATAGACATTATAAAAAAATTTGAATAAACTTATATAACCTAACCTATATTCGACATTATCTAAAGAATAAATGAAATTACATATCAATTAACAGTCTATGTCCATCGAATTTCCTAATGGTATAGGATATTTAAGGACAGTACATAATTTTAAGGCTCAAAAATTTTAATACACTGTAATTGATTTAGAAATTACAAAACAAGAAACATTTATTTTTCACCTAAAAATATAAAAATGAAAATGAAAATTCTATTAAAAAGCAATTTATGATATATAAACATTTACTCAATTAATATTTTAGTTAATTAGTATAAAAATTTTGAATCTTTTTAATCAAAAGTACAATTATTGGAATAAAAGTATTTGAAAAATACAAATGTAACTTTTTAAAGTAGATAAATATCTAATTATAAAGCAAAAATAAAACAATCATAGTAAAATTAGTTTTTCTATAAAATTTAGACTTATTTTATATAATTCTATTTATTAAATTTCAAATTATATTTTTTCAGTATTTTATTTTGTAAAAAATTATTTACAGGAGTGTTTAATTTTGAATAATTTAATTATAAAATTTATATTTACACCTAAAATCTACTAATTAAATTAATTTTTGTGTTTTATTATAGAGGATACAATGTTACAAGTTCTTAGCAAACATGATAAATTTACTTATAACACTTAAATGTTATAAGTATGGGAATCCAAAAAAATTTTGCATTATTTATAATTTACCTTATTATGAATTATCACAAATGTTTTTGGCTTAATTAATTTTATGACTCAAAGAGTTTGTACATTTTACACTTCTAAAAATATAGTGAAGTATATTAATAATTCAAGATCAATAAAATTAAAAAATGATATGTATTTACTATTTTCTTTCTTTTACTAAAAAATATTAAAATTAAATTGCAATGAAACATTAGTTTGATACATTTTTCAATTTACTTTCAGTTAAAAAGAAATGTTGCATTTTATGCGCATATTTAAAATTCTATTATTTTATTAGTAAAAAATGTACTCCTTTTCTGTAATTATTAGTAAAAATTTTCATTTCAGTTTATTCTAATTAAATATTTAATGTATTAGAGGCAGCTTTCTAAATCATCACATGTAAATATAAAATATAATCTATTCAAAATAGTGTTCAAAACTCATAATGATATAAATTTATTCGAAATTACTTATTTTGTTTCTCATTCATTATTTTTGGACAACTGATCTTTAAAGTGTTACGATTTATTGATTTTACTTTTAATAAGTTACCGAAAAAGGGTTTTTTTCCTACCTTTATTGTCCATCTTAGGTTATAAAAGAATTTGATGCAATGATAGATATATATT